CACACACACACACCGCCCATGACTCCTGCAGGCTCTCGGTTGAAACTGAAAGTGAAACTTAAACTGACTGTGAGCTCCTAATATTAGTTTTCACTCAGTGAAGCTCTTTTCAGATAAAAAATACCTTTGAGGAAATATATTTTCAGATGCCAAGTAAACTGCATCATAGCAACCCCCCCACCCCTGTGCTGAAATGGGCAAGACAGAAGCGGAAGGTGGTTCTTAAAGAGACAGAGGCCAATTTCAAGGCGTTTAGAAGAGGAAGTGATGTGAAGATAAGTTTATTTTCTATTTAAACATAAAAACAGCATTTTAATAACAGCTAAAGGTGACATGGATACTTTATTATGGCATAGTATTTAAATATATGCCTGAGAAACACACAATATTGCCCCTTTAAGACCATCCATCTGCTGGGTAACATTTTATGTCACAGTGCGAAAATGTCCCAATAATTGTGTGTAGTAACATTTACTTTTAAGGTTTACTTTCATTTACAGTACTTAAGTATTTTTTTGAGGATTTGTGAGTTTTCCAAGTATTTTTTTAAATCTTTTGTTACTTTCAAAATATTAATAAAATACTTTTACTTATTTACTTTTGAATTTAACACTTAGTTACAAATTAAAATATGAGCATAACTCATCATTAAGAGTTGTTTATGCACTCAAAACGATGAAGTGTTGAATTTACTTAACCAAGTTATGTCAACAGGTTTCACTAAACCGAGCTGAGTAAATGTAGATGAATTTGCTCAGCGTGGTTTAGTGGAACCAGTTGACATTACTTGGTTGAGTAAATTCAATACTTCGATTAAGAGTGTGTGTAAAAATACTATTAATTTCCCAATTATTGTGAACAGTTTAATGACTTTCACTTCAGTAGTTTTCGTATCAGTGAAATTTATTTTACCAAAGTCGCTTTCAGTTAACGTGGTCAATTTTTTTACATAGTTATTTATTTTAAGTTAGTTTAAGTTTGTAGACCTCTACTAAAAACTGAAGTAGCTGAATACAAGTTATACTTTAAATATAGTGTATTTATGCATACATAGGTGTAACCAGAACTACAAATTAGCTAACTCGAGTGTGCTTGTTATCCAAAATCACCTTGGCAGCAATTGTAGCTGGTGTCATCCTGGGTCTTTGCCCATCATCAGGGTGTGGTGCTCCAGCATATCCCTGGGAACCTGGTGAGCCCTCGTTCTCCCTCAGCCTGTCAGAAGTGTCCTTTCTCCTCTGAACCGGTGCTGCAGCCACTGGCTGTTCATACTGACCTGCTTTGGACCAATCCTGAAGAAGTGAGAGGAATTAATAAACAGGAAGTGTCTGGCAGTACTAGCATGAGACTTGTCCAGTATCCAGCAGTTTGAAGCCCTTCTTTTAAATGCACAGAAAGAGGTCCACACAGGTGGGCCGAGCCTTGGCGCATGTGTACGAAGCTGTTGAAGTGGGCAAGAGACTTTTTTGCACTTTTAAAGGGTTTTATGTTTATGGCTTAAACCCTGCTTGGTTTTGGTCAATCGCCAGTTAGCAAAACCAGGGAGGCAGGTGAAACTTAAAGGCATGCATGCAAACACACGGCAACTGAGGATGAGTGTGTTAGGGATGCAAAGCAATGTACTAACCTGGTGAGGGAAATGAGTGCAACTTTTGCAACAGGTGTAAATTAATCGACGAGAACAGAGGAGAAGGTGCAACTGAAGAAATGGAAGCAAATGGAGAACAAACCTTCCACATGGGAACCTTTGATGTGGGAGAGGAAGAGCTGGATCCAGGGGTGCGGTTATAGGGTGGGGACGCAGGAACAGGGAGAATGACAGAAAGAGGCCTGGTGGAACCAGAGTGAGAAAAAGCAGGGCGGAAGGTAGCGAAGGACGAGCCAAACTGCGGGACGAGAGACAYAGTCATGTCATCAGAGGATGAAAATGCTGCAGACACAGGGAAGCAGCCAGCTGTGGGATCACATGACAATGTGTAGGCCATAATCACAGACAACACACAGCCTCCAAATAATACTTAGAAGCAGGAAAGACGAGCAGAAAATCTGATGCATCACAATGACCTAACAACTGAGTTCATAATGTAACAACTACAGTATATCAATCTATCCGGATGACCAGGTATGATTAGATACATGTGGTTATGTTAGAAAATTGATGGGATGTGTTGAATCAGTCATTCAGACTGATATGAATTGAACATTTCTGTACTGGTTCTGACCGGACTGGCAAGGTAACAACTACTGTAGTCCTTGCAGGGCCTAGACCAAGGTGGTTTGCTGCCATTGAAAAGTGCTATAGAAACTGGAGCTGTTTTAAGACAAACCCTTTACACTTAATCACACTAGCCATTATAGTTAAAACTAAACTGTTTTTTTTCTCCAAAATGAGGTCATTCAAATACATAACATAACAGAAATCTGTCCTGAGCATTTAGATTGTTGTTTGTATTTAATTTGTTGAGCTCTTGGAACAATAAAAGCTTTGCTCTTTTAATGTGTTATCCATATTGAGTGCTTTAAAATATATAGCATTTAAGCTAGAACCTTTACAGTTCAAAATGAAACACTTAATTATTTTAGGTCCCTGTAAAGATTAATGCCTGAACTTTAATACATATTGCAACTAATTTGCATAGTTTTTTGTTTGTTTTGTCTTAAAGCTACATACGTTTATAAGTGAGCTAAGAGTTTTTTTTCCCTCTATGCAATTGATGAGAAAATGAATCTGAAGAAAATTAATTTTACTAAATTGTGTCCTACGCTAAGCTTGGAAAATGAGAATGTGGCATTTTCTGGCTGCAGGAAGGAAGGTATCCTTTATTGCAATTAACATTTATAACCTTAAGCTTTATATAATTATTAAGTTGTTTTGTAATTTAGATGAAAAAAAGCGTCATAACTTGCTTAGAAGAATAAAATGAAACCAACATGAAGAAACAGTGTTTAGTGCTCTGCCGTTACTCGTYAATGCTTCATTTTTGCTCCCAGCACATGAAGCACCAGTCGTCCAACAGTGTTTGATGTGGGAGCAGAGACATGAAATGTTAAATATGATCTGAGAGAGTTCAGAGATGTAAGCAATAGACACATTCAAAATCTTGCTTTTTCTTTATCGTGTGTCTTGTGTGACCAGACTGAACATGTCACCAAAATGTCTTCATCACTTAAAAAAATAACCTGAAATCCAAAGTTAAAGAAGAATAAAAGTTTAAATGTTTGTTTGCAACTCCCTCACTGTGTTTGTACAAGTTTTCTGCCATGATAACCAGTGAAAGGGGAGCAAACATTCCATCCTGACAATGTTTGTTTGCCATTCAAAGAAGTTGGATTACAGAAGAAACCTGTCGTAGATCCAAGCTGCTGTGAATCACAGATGCTTCTTGGAATCAGAAATGGATATTTACTTTGGCTCCCGAGAATCATCTATATAATTATCTTTTTCCTCACAAACAGATGTGCATGGCTGTCGAAGAATGTGTACGGAAAGAGAAGCAGATGAGCTGTAAGAAGAAAAAAAAATGTGGCTCTGATTTGAGTGAAATTTATGTAGGTACCCAAACAGCAATTATAGTGACACAGAAAGCACAGAATACAAGTGTTTTGGTTTTTTTTTTTAAACTGAGTAGGTGGTTCATGGTAGGAAAGAAACTTTTTTTTTCTCCGAATTGCCTGAAAAGAGTGAAACCACCTAGTTGCTAATTGTTGCAGTGGTTTAAAATGCCTCTCCATGCAATGATTTAAAGCAGAAACTCATATAAGTGGTGTTTTTTCCATTATTCTAAAATATAATGAAATCTATTATCCACAGGAGAAYCCATTAGGCTCCGAGACAACTATCACTGTCAGTTTTGTTACCTTTCACAGGTCGATCTCCGACTGATTTTTACATAACAATAAAACTCCTAGAAAAACTCCTGCTATTACTGAAAATAAAACTTACAATTTACCAGCGTGTGTTGTACTTTGCAACATCGGCTTACTGCTGCTGCAATTATCACAGCTGCTTTAGATTCATTTTAACAGCACTGACAACTTGTTTTTCTTCTTCAATGTGAACAGCATACACAATTGAAAATAAAACAAAAGTGCTTTTGCAAAAAAAAGAAAAAAAGAGTTTGATAAAGCCTTGTACATTGTGTCTGAACGACACAGAAAACACTGATTTTAGGCAGAAACCTTACAACAAAAATGTGTGAAGCGTTTATCAGGTTTTAATAAATCAATAATATTTGTATTCAGTTTAAAAAGCTAAATCTTAGAACTAAGTTGCTTCTCTTTCTAAACAACATATAATACTTAACTTRAGAAAATGCAGTGTGAATACTGAGAGTATGTTGAAAAAGCTGACATTGAAGTGTGGAAGCTAAACCAAATAGAACATAAGCTAAAAGCCAAAAGTAGCAAACGATTAGATAAATTAGTGATGCAAAAAAAATTCACATTACAGTCACTGCTAACAGAATGCACAGTTTTATTTTATTTTATTTATTTATTTTTATTTACTTATTTTTTGCTCTAAGGTGATACAACTTGTGATCAGTTTGCTGTGTTTTTTATGTGAATGTGGTGCTGAAGATGCTGTGTTTTTCAGTGTGAACGAGAAGACTTACAGTGGTGGGGGAGCTGCATTCACTGACTGACTGACATGTTTCTGAGGCCTCTGATGACGCTGAGCTGGAAGATTTCTACAGAGGAAAGATTAGAAAAACAAACTGTATTTAGTTTGAGAATTTTTAAGAACCTTTGCTTACATTGTATGTACATTGTACACAGGTTTTCTGCATGTTTTAGGTTTAAATATATGTTTTTTCTTTCCTTTAAAATGATGCTTAAAATGTTAGAGTAACATGATTCCTGGTGATTACAAAAAAAGCAGTAAAAAAAAAAACAATAAACCACCGACTGATATCAGCTTTTAAATATTGCCCCAAGGGTTCCAAATCTGAACCTTGCATTAGATTTGATCACTGGAAAGTTAAACACATTAAATCACTACGTTGTCTTGTTTAGATTKAAAACAAATGTAAAAAATATAACGACTGCTTCACTCTTCTGTATTTTACATGTGTGCACCATTGCTGACCACCTCATCAGCATAGAGATGTAAATTCAGTGTGTGTGAGTGTGTGTGTGAGACAGACTTTTGTACCTGACTTGTGATGTCCGAGGGCATCGGCGAGGGAGGCTTGGAGTAGATGTTGGCATCCTGGGACACGAATCCTGAATCGTGGGAGGAGACGCTGCTGAGGCGGTGGGCGGCGATGCCCCCCGGTGGCGGAGGCTGCTGCGGGATGCTGCTGCGGTAGCGATAGGAGGAGGAGGAGGAGGTGGGTGAGTGTGGCTGGGAGCCTCCTCCGCTACCACCAATACCCACACCTCCCCCCGATGAGCGTGAGGCACTACTGTGGGCGCTGTTGACACTGCTGTGGGGTGGGGATGGGAAGGAAAGAAGGTAGGGGGGGTGGCAGTTGTCAGTGGGATGGAGGAGGCGTCAGGAACGTAAAGTCATGTCAGACGACGGCAGTTATGGTCACAGCAATGATTTGTTTCAGGGGSAGGAAGATGTAAGCAGTTTGGTTAGGATTATGGATTGAAGAATAAGTCGGTGATGGTTAGAGTGCAGGAGGAGTCGTTCGTTGGGTTAGTGTAAACCAGTCACAATTAGAAGCACCCCCACCAAAGAAGAAGAAAAAAAAAGGGAAATAAAACCAGGAAAGAAGCAACCAGCAGGAGAGAAAGAGGGCMGATCACACAAGTGCACACAAACAACACATAAGACAGAGAAGATTGACAAGTGAAGGTGTAGAAACAGAGTAGAAGAGGGGTGGACATGGAGAAGTGGGTGTAGGGGTGGGTAGGAGAGAGGTAAACAAAGAGCATGTGAACTCAGGGAGATCCAATGAAGCACTGCAGGTGAAAGGCTGCCAAAGTGCTGCTCATTATACACACAAACACACACACACACACACACACACACACACACACACACACACACAC